CGTCTTCAGACGTGGAACACGACGACAAGCTCGACAGCAACAATCTAATTTTGTCTCTGAAGACACAAACGAGGAAGCCTTCGTTACGGAGTGCAACACAGGCCCATAGTTTGCAAGAAAATACTTTGCTAATCTGCCACCTAATACATGGAGAGAAAACAAAAGTCGTGAAAGGGCAAATCGGCTCTGCATCCACCTGCAATACCATTCCCAGCAGTCTTCTCAGAAGGCTACTTCCTAATGTAGAAATTCGTCGGACTAGAAGCAAGAAAAATACGTATGGAAGTGAAACTATGCGTCCTGAAGGCCAGGTGACCTTGTGCTGCGAGAGAAGGGGGCAGGATTCACGCCATAAATTTCCTGGTGGTAGAAGTTCCGGATGAGATACCAGCGCTTCTCAGTGGAAGGGATGCATAAGCCCCATATTACTTGAAGGTGTGCGCTAACGAGACGGCAAACGCAGTTGACGAAGAAATTTCGCACAATCCACAACCAGCTCCACCACTAGGAAAACTGACGAAGGACGATGTACTACAGTACTACTCGAACATATTCAGGCCAGGCCGTGGAAATCCTCTAGGAACCCCTATGCACGTCGAGCTGGATCCCAATGTCAGGCCAGTGCACGCCCAAGTGTGTCGAGTTGCCGTGGCGAAGCTGGACAGAGTAATGAAGAGTTAGAGAGACTTTGTAACGAGGGCATCATAAAGCCAGTCACACAACTCACAGACTGACTCTCAAACATCCTGGTGAATGAAAAGCCAAACGGGAAACTTCGACTATGCATTGATTTAAGCCAGACCATCAATAGGGTCATCCGAAGATCCAAGCACACAGTACCGACGATTGAAGAAAAGCTTCCACTTCTAACTAACGCAAAAGTTTCCAGTACTGTTGACGTCTCAGCCTTGGCCTTCCATATCATCGAGTTGGACGAAGAATCATTCTTACTTACCACGTTTCAGGGGCCAAGCGGTCGCTGCTGTTACACCAGGATGCCATTTGGGATAGCCTCTGGACCTGAAGAGTATCACCGACTGCAACATGAATTCTTAGATGGTCTGCAAGGAGTAGTAAACATTGCCGACGATATCTGTGTTTTCGGATGTGGCAATTCAAAAGAGGAAGCTTGCCTGGATCACGATAAAATCTCACGAGTCTATTAGAGAAGTGCAGCAAACATGGATCTCCTACTGTCTGCGAAAAGTTTCAGTTTAAATCTCCTTCTGTCACATTCATGGCGCACAAGCTCACAGATAAAGGGGTGGAACCGGACCCAGCCAAAGTAGACGCAATCAAAAAGATGCCAACGCCCACTAATGAGGCTGGTGTACAGCGTTTACTTGGCATGAGCCAGTACCTAAACAAGTTCTGCCACAACCTTTTCGGAATCATTTCTTCCACTGAGGGACTTGACAAAAGAGAACTCTGAATTCCCGTGGTCAAACAACCAAGGAAACGCATTCAACTCAGCCAAGAATCTCATTGCATCAGCGACTGCACAGCGCTACTACCATCCTACTCTTCCCGTAACTCTGCAAGTGGATGCGTCTGAAGATGTAATCGGTGCGTGCTGTTACAAAACGATCAGCCTGTCTGTTTCACATCGCACACACTGAAAAACACCATGCAACAAATCAAACAAGAGACCGCCAAGGATCCAGTCCTGGCATCCCTGTGCGATGCGGTAACTAGTGGGTGGCCTGCAGAAAGGAAGGAAACGTCAGAGCATCTAAGACAGTATTGGTGTTTCAGAGACGAGATTTCCGTTGGCGTGGTCTATCGCTCTCACCAAGTTATTGTCCCTTCCTCGTTACGAGAAGAGATTTTGGAGAAAATACACAAAGCACACCGGGGGGGCGATAGCGGCATAAGACGAGCGAGCGAATCTCTTTTCTGGCCTGGAATGCAAGCAGCAATCAACAAAAAGTGCCTTTCATGTGGACTTTGTGCCCAATATATTAGCGAGCGACCACAAGAACCGATGAAATCTCACACAATACCAATCAGACCGTGGTCAAAAATAAGTGCTGATCTCTTCCAGTTGAATGGAAACAACTACCTCGTAGTTCACAGCGGCACATACCTATATAGCCCATATATGGCAGTGCCCCCCCGGGGAAAAAAGCCACACTTTCGCACTAGCACCTATCGTACAGCACGCACTACCATGTAAATTAGGCAGTCTGTTAAATTAAAAGGTCAGTTTTCACATATTGTAAAACTGAGCAAACAACAGATACATCACTTTCTTTACTGATTTTCAACATTTTAAAGAAAACCAGACAAAATACGTACGTTAGAAGTTAAAAGTATCTCGCCTTTTCGACCCTCGTGTCACCGAAGTTTTCTTCGAATGTAGACGGGCAACGCTTTTTCCAGGCCTGTTAAGCGTTAAGGAGCGATCGTATCAGCCGCAAAAATTCACTCACTTAGTTGTGATGAATTTTGTACGTTTACCTGATCTAAGTTTCACTAAAATAGCTTCTTTTATTGCTGATAGTCGCACGCTGAGATCTTCTTCAAATCATAGTTAGTAGACTACTAACTATGTTTAAATAAAAAACGTTTTTCAAAACGCACGTTCTACAATACTCCTTATTTCGAAAATGAGCACGATGCCACCTCCCCCCTCCCCCCTCCCCAATTTTTTTCACTTTGTGGCAAAAGTTGATTTTTGCCTTTCTGCATGGCAAGTTTTAAAAAAATCTGCACGTGGGAACATTTAGGGCGCGAACATCGTTAAGACTCAGCATTTTATCGATTTAGGTTTCAGCTTTTTATCGAAAACACACGAGCAGCTTTTTGACATGAAGAGAGAGTTGATGCTCAGATTATTTTTGTTATTTCATTTCTATTTTAATGATTATTTACCCTAGCTCCAAGGATTTACGTTTGAGACTCCGCGCTCTTCTTCTCATTGCTGATGGATTTTGATTTCCACACATTTGAAACACCATATTTGCATACCCTTTAGATTCTATTTGCATAGCTAGCATAAGAAATGGAGCTGAGTTCCTGTTATCTAGGGAAAACATTTTCCACCGATTAATCCACTGGTTAATCTGACAACTTTTGAATCAGTCAATCAACCAATCATTTGTTTTAACACGATTCGTCGAGGGGCTAAGAACTTCGGAGGAATTTGAAAACGCCGGCCTTGCGTTTTGGTGTAGGCGAAAAACGTTTTGAAAACATTTTGAAAACAGAGCTATTCGAAAACGATCACGTCTTGATAATCATGTGATTAACCCTAGTCCTTAAGGGTTAACTCATGCTTTTTTGCCGCCGGCGATTGATGCGTTTTCTAATTTCCTCGGCGTAGTATGGAAGGAAGACATTTGATGCTACGCAAAATATCAAAATGGGAATACCTGGTCACGATACGGGTGATGTTCCCAAACACAAAACCCATGGAAATAATCTTCCCCACAAAACAGGCCAACTTCGTAGCAGTGTAAAATGGGTATTGAACACGGGTACAGTGGATAACATGTTCAACAATAGAAATCCTTTCTTGGGGAATGCAAATATTGCGACTGGACAAATCAATACAAAATCCCAACCATACCAAGCAGGGAGTGGGCTGCCAAATAGATTTACTATAATTGGGAAGAAAACCAGTCGACACAAGTAAAGACTTAACGAAAGCGGAAGCAACCTCACAGCGAGCAAAGTCGCGAGCGGAACCAAGACTGTCATCAAGGTTAACTGTGATTCTAACTGCCTGACTTCGCCAAAATCTAACAAGAACACGAACTACATTAGCAAAAATATAGGGGGCTGACGACAATCGAAGGGAAGTACTGTAAAAACAAAAAAAACTTCCTAACCCCATTAACAAGCCACGAAAAACCTGGGAAGGTCTGATGATCATCCAAAATATCAATATGGCGATAATCGGATTTAAGGTCAAATTTAAACATGAAATTATCCGTTGGAAGGTAAATGGACGCGTTCCTTATGTCCTTAAACTTGAATTTCTCCTTCCAAATGTGCTTATTCACATGACGGAGATCCAAAATCAATCTCTTTTTCCCAGTACTTTGAATATTGACGGATAAGGGGTTATCCACATGGGGGGACTGGGAACCTCAATAATAGAGCCCGAGAAAAGAAGCTCTTGAACAGCTTCCCCTACAAAATCAGCATCAGTCAAAGCCGAAGTATTGCTATAGGAAAAGGCCTTGGGAGGAACACTGATAAACGGAATAGCATAACCCCTCTCAATGACGCGAAGAATAAAATTATTGGCCTCCAAAGCTTGAGACCAGACATAATAATGAGCTCTGAGCCTACCTTAAACTATGGGTATACTAGACTGAGCACTTTCAAATTCAAAACTATCCACAAGAACGTGGCCAAAATCGGAAATACCTTCAAAAGTTTCACTGACAACATCAGGCTCCGATCATTCCCTGATCAACCTCGTTTCCAGGGCTTTTCCAAAGGGAAAAGCCCTGGGGACGAGGTTGTGCTACGTTATGGACGTACTGCTGCCCAGCAGTGCCGTGGGTTTTCTCTGGGAGCTGCTTAAACGTTGATCTGGCTGTGAAATAGGATTGGTGAAAAGCCATTCGGCTCTCCAATGGCCCGTCTTTCCACAGGCGAAACAGATGCCTTTCCTGGCTTTTCCGAAGCTGCTCTTCTGCGGTTGAGGAGAAAATTAGTGAAGTTATCGGAAGAAATAGAGGCAGCCGATGCAAAACCAGACGACGATAATGGACGTCTGGCAACCTGTAAGAGAAGAGAAAATAAAAAACTAATTGACGGTGGAACTGATAGGCACTGAACTGTCCTAAACTGAGGATGAATACGTGATAGACGTATTTAAATAATACGACAAACGAAAGACTCCGCAAAACCCGCCTAAATGTGTTACGCGTTGCGTGACCAAAATACCAACAGTCTCGTTCCCAGAGTCTTCGTTCCCCTTGACCAACGGTCGGAAAACGAGAGCTCTGGGAGCAACCATTTCAGGCGCGCGCCATAGATGCAGACTGCCCAGTGAAACCGGATGGGCAGAATTCGGTTATTTCAAAACGGTTGTCCCCAGAGCTCTCGTTTTCCCACCGCTGATCAAGGGGAACGAGGACTCTGGGAACGAGATTGAAATACCAACGAAGATAACGCAACGAGCATAAATACATTTGAACTTACTTTACTTACTTTACATTGTCATCATTACATTTCTTTGCAGATTTGATTTGGTTGATTCTTTATCCGGCCATGATTTTAGTAAAATATATTACAAGTACCACTTGAAATGTTCATTTTACTTTCAGCGAAATGGCACCTAATACTAACCCTAACACTATATCTTTAGTACTCACAGATGACACCGAGTATATTCGCCTTCGGCCTATACTCATACTTGCTGCACTTGGATACTCTGTAGATCTTAACTGTCAATTAAACGACCCATCAGTTGATGTGCATCTAATACAAGAGAGAAAGGTGACAGGGTCAACTAAAACAATTGAACTTGAAAGGGCTCCAGATGGAATCAAAGTTACACAGAGTGGCCAAATATTTACCATAAACAATCTTGAAGAATCTGATAACGGGACATATTACTGCAAAGCTCAGTCAACATATTTACGGATAGAGAGAATTTACACCACCAAATGTGGATCAACACAAGGTAATCAGTTTGTTTGTAATATGTTGAGATAATGCTCATTCATTACTTTCCAACTTGGAAATGTTCACGTACAAGTACATGTAGTATAAAAGACTGGATTGACCAACACTTGCAAAGTCAGTATAATATACATGAATTGCAGGCATTTTATAAATGTTAAGGCGGGGGTTGACCTAAAATTCTGTAAAAAAAAAAAAATTCGAAGTTTTGTTTTTTTTCGGAATTTGAATCTTGAGGTACGAAGTTTTACTTAAGAATTTCTGTTACTGTAAGTTCAAAGCTCGTTTTCTCAAAACGAGTTATTTTTGCCTTTGAGAAAAGATCTTTTGAGACGGATTTGTCCGACAGTACTCGCCATTTGTCTTCTTTCAAAAAAATTTAAAAAGTATTCATTTTGATCAGTTCTTGTAGGAGGTAGCCTTTCTCAAGTAAGCCCTGGCATTCCCTAGTACGGAACAGTTTTAATCAGCCGGTGTCAGGTTACAATACAGTTCTAGAGTACAAATTTTTTTTCGTAATCTTTGGTCTTTAAGCTTTTTAAAAATGTATACTAGGCCATGGTTTGGAATTAACTCTTAGCCCGAGAAAAGTTTGAAAAAGTGGTGTGTTTTTAGGTTAACCTCCACCTTAATGTCATTCATGCCCCTCGTCATGCTAGTGGTCTCGCAAGGTTTTTTGTCATTCCAGTAACCTTCACGGATCATGTCGGTGTACAAATGAAAATGTATGCACATGACTTCTTTTATTTGTGACTGTAATCTATTCTTAAATGCAATGGGTTATGCCAAGGTTCACGGACCACAGAGACCATTTTAAAGTGGTGATGCTAAAAATTCTGGCGAAAACAAACAAATATTACGGGGTCACTGCTCCTCATTTATCGCAATTTATTTTATACCAAAATCAGCCTAAGCACTGACATGGTGTTTAGCTTTACCAGCCCCTTTCTCTCTGCCGTCCCTGAGGTTTTGGTAGTTGTTTTAATTTCATCATTCACCACATCCACTTTGTTGGAGATTGGCTGGTAGTTGTTTTAGAGAGGTGCATGTATTGATATTATCAGATTACAATCCAATCAAAGTTACACAAACCTGGTTATATCTAATAGCTTTTTTTTCTTACATTACTCTACATTCAATAGTTGATGGCTCTGTGCAAAGCCTGCATTAGTATTTTGGCTCGACTACGTCGCGTCAAAATACGAACGAGGGCTCGACCAAACTCGCCTGACGATGCTGCCGAAGTGCTTCAAATGGGACGATTTAGGTATAAAGAGCGAGATTATATGCAAAAGATTACAACTTTTCTTATATACAAAGTGGTTAAAAGTAGAGCTCCTCCAGTTCAACCACGAAAAATGCATTTAGTATCGAAAACTTTTCCTAAAAAAGGCCAAAAATTAGCCAAAATATGTCTAAAAATTGTATTTCATGCGCTTTCCTTCGCATTGTCCGGGATGTTCGGTGAACTGTACGGGAGACCGGGAGATATGTACGGTGTGTATCTGGGAGACTCCCAGATAATCCAGGAGTTTGTTTAGATGTGCGTGACTGATCAAGTATTGCTATTGATTTTTCAGAACGTTACATTTCTTCACATTCTATACATCCAAGAAACAACTCAGTGAATGAAGGAGAAAATATCACCTTCATCTGCAAAGTAACTGGGAAAGGCATTAAAAAAGTAGAATGGTATGAAGACAAAATGAGACTTCCTGGCACATTTTATCAATCTGGCAACAGCTATATTAGTGATCTTCAATTAACAGCAGTAACTGTTTCTCAAGCTGGTGCTTTTGAGTGTCGAACAACTGTTGTTCCCACATGGTACAAAGGCTACCAAGTTAAAACAGGAATGTTGTTCATCAAAGGTAATTAGACCCCTTGGGGGAGGGGGAACTCCCATATATTAGCTATATAGGTATGTCCCGTGGAAAAGAGCATTGTTTTTGAGGTTCTATCATTTTTGCCCCTGTTGGCATTGTGTTCCCAGTGTGATCGATAGATAGGGTACCTAAATTTTGTCAGCTAAAATTCCAGTGCATAAAGGCCCAGCTAAACGAAAACAAATTCTATGCTTGACGCTCAACTTCCATTGTTACAGAAACGAGATAAAGAAGACAAGTTTACGCCATTTTTGGTTTTTGTTTTTCCCTTGAACTGGGTGTCATTTTTCGGGTTTGTGCGTTAAACAGGGTATCAATTCGCGTTAAGATCCTTCGCGGTACACACCTAACCCAAATTTAAGGGTTTAGCCCTTTCCTTCCCCCCCCCCCCTCCCCCCTGGGAATTGAACCTTGCTAGACACTTTTTCAAGTTGATTTAGATTTATGGATATTTTTATTGTTTAGTTGACTGATGTTAAGTCAATGAAAAATTTTATTATACAGTCGATTCCCGATAACTCGAACCTTCGGGGGAAATTAAAAAAGGTTCGAGTTATCGGGAGTACGACTTATCGGGAGTTTCTGGGAGTTGAGAACAAATGACCGGAAATAAGAAAAAAACGGTGTTTAATGTTGTTCTATTCATGCAGTGTACATTTTAATCAAATTTAATGACAGAGTAGAGAATTGAAGTGAAAATAAAACACTACATCTCTAAATTACTGTACAAATCGGAACGTAACGTAATGTGAAAAATATGAGAAAGGAAAGCAGCTAGGAGAAGTCCAGAAACTGTGAACTGCACAGGTCTGTCAATTATAACGATGTCGGACTACTGGTACAAAGCTACTGGTACTGGCTACTGGTACAAAGCTCGTGCTCATGGTTCGAGTTATCAAGGGTAAAATTATATAGAAAATGACCTGAAGGGAAACGAAAATTAATTTGAGTTAGCGGGAGGTTCGAGTTATCGAGGGTTCGAGTTATCGAGGGTTCGAATTATGGAGCGTTCGAGTTACCGAGGGTAAAGTTACAGTAAATGTATTACGGAAATCTAGGGGAAATCGATTTTGGTTCGGGTTAGCGCGAGGTTAGAGTTATCGGGGCTCGACCGTACATGTAGTCAATGTGGAGACTATAACTGTACTCTTCTTTATGAAATATATAGTCTTTTCCAATAATATCTGCTTCAGAATTTCACTTCCTTGCCAAGAAGAAACCATCTCAGGGACTATTTGTTGGTGACAAAGTAATAATTGATTGCAAGACAAATAACCGAAAGGCATCCTCCAGTTTATGGGTGAGGAAAGGTACCAGTCCAGCTCAGCAAATTGTTCCAAATGGCGGATCTATCACACGGCGTAATAAAACGTACATTTTTCATAATCTGACACTGGATGATGCTGGTCTCTAGATCTGTAGTGCAACCTTACCAAGCACGAAAAAGAGGATTGAAAAAGAGATCACCAGACTGTTAATATTTAAAGGTGAGGAACGAGATCGTGAATGTATTTGTCGAAATGAAGGTAGAGGCCAGAGTCTGCTTTCATGCAAGTCTGCGAATAACAAAGTGGGATGTTATGGGATGCAATGTTATGTGTTTCTTGGCCAGAGCATCAAGCGTCTCCCTTTCTATTCTCCAGCCTTGAGTCAAATCATTTCAGATCACCGTTTTTTTTTTTTGTTTGTTTGTTTTTTTTAAAATTTATTTCTATTTCTTTTAGCGCCTTTGCTTGTTTTGGGGTGTACATTTAAATGATAGGCAGAAACTGCTTTCTATAATTTGAGTTCGAAATTGTTTGTATTCGCTCTTAACAGCTAAAATACTCGGTGGCCATGCGCTGGGCAGATAAAGCCATGTTTGCGACGTTACGATTGTGACGAAAGTATTCTTGCCGTATTTTTCCCTCGCTGCTTCCATCGAATTTAAAACCTTCCGTAATGCACACGTAATCACAGCATAGGTGTTGAGCAATGGCTACATTAAAGTAATATTTAATGTAGTTGGTTTGCATTTTAAAAAAGGCTCAAAGGATAAGTGATCATTTTCTTTGGTTTCCTTTATTGTTTTTTTTACCACAGATACAATCAAAGATCCGCAGCCACATATCTTCCCGTTATCGGGGGAGGTAATGCTTGGACGAGACTTCACCTTCTTCTGTATAACCTATGGCAAAGAAATCTCGTTGGCGTGGTTTAAAAATGGCAAATCAGTCCCAAATAATCATTCAGATAGACAGGCAGGCAATGAGAAGGTCGCGACTTTCCGTAAAGACACTTTAATGATTAAGAGGGCTACCAAGGCAGACGAAGGCAATTATAAATGCATTGTAACAACTTCTGTGCAACCTGGATATAGCAAAGGTGCTGCTGCAACACTGATTGTCAAAGGTACACTATATGCTTGTTTGTCGTTTGATTGACCTTTAAAGTAGAGGAGATAAGAAATAAATCACTCTAACATTTTGACAGACTTGGAAATATATACTGGTTTTAGCGATCATTTCCAGACTTTGGAGAACATGCTGAATAAAGTCTTTCGCGTGCCCCTTGAAAAAGACTTCTCCTGTTCTGTCTGAAATCTCCCGACCTGTACTTTAGCGATGATTTCATTCCTGGATATGGACTCGAACTTATTACGCTATGGGAATTTCTATTTCTAGATCCTTCGATTTTTCAAAGTCCCGATAACTCGAACCAAAAGTCGTTCTCTCCCCTCAATCGAAACTGTAATTTTACCCCTGATTTCTCGAACAACCCGATTTTTCAAACCAATTGTCCTTTCCCTTGGAGGTTTGGCTTTTTTATGGTTATGAATATCGGCAAATCCTCCCCTCGCAGTATATATCTTGATCAATCCACAGAGTGTCTGGAGCCGAACGGTACGTTTGCTGACCCAGACGACGGTCTATAGCTACTTTGAATGCATACAAGGAACTGCTGTGAAAAGAGATTGTCCTAAGGGGCAAAAATGGAAACGAACAGAAAACATGTGTCATCATGATCAGCCATTAGCAAGTGAGTAAACTAAGTGATTAACGTATGATTAGCATATGAGGTGCTCAGTCCAACCCTGATACCCAGCGACTCTGCACGGAAGAAGAAGCAGAAGACTGTGGCCGGGTTCGATCTCCGCCCGGTACCGCGTGTGCCGGTTTTCCTCCCTCCAAAAAAACCAGCATCTTCAAATTGCAATTCCACCAGGATAGAGACCACGCATGAAAGCCAGCTAAGGATGATGTAGACTGCGAGCAGTCTCTCTTTTGCTTGAAATTCCGTGGAGAAGAACGCAACACAAGTGAGCGGTCATGAGCGTGCCTGCGTGACATGTCACGCTCGCGTTCCACCTAACGGAGAGAGACTGATCGCAGTATAAGGCTCATATCACTTCCTCTTTAAATACTGTAATTTATTTTATTTTTATTTAAGGTGCCTCAGATCCAGCTATTGTGCCATCATCCTGGAAGATAACACTACTTATAGTCAGTGTAGCTCTCTTCCTTGTGCTCCTGTTAATCGCCGCCATTTTGTATCGACGACGTCAGCGGTATGGTGGTTTCTATATCTTCGCCAGTCCCCCTCTACCAGACATGATACCGAGGTTGGATGCCTCCATTCCTCTCATCAAACAAATCAACAAGCTGCCGTACGATAAGCGGTGGGAGTTTCCTCGAGAACAACTCCACTTTGGTAAGAAGACATATTAAATTATTGCCTAGAACCCTGAAGGAGTTTTGTCGCGATACTGCACGTCATTTTGTGACGTCCACTAAATCGAGCGCAAGTGTGAAGGATAATTTGTTTAGGGAAATAAACACCAAAGAGGAAACAGTTAGCTGAAAAGGAAAGAATTGTTAAGAATTGAAAAAAAAAGAGGAGTCGAGCTAAACTTTTACTCTGTATCCAGCGTTAGACTGTTTAATTAATTCCTGAGATGGTAAATCACCTCTGACATTATTTGAAATAATTTTTTGTAACTATCTACATTTCCCAGTCTCTACGAACTAGTAAGATTCCTGGAGTCAAGGGCTTGTTGAATCGTAAGTCGATGGTTTGTACAGCTCTGTGTGCCACCTAATCCTGGAAAGTCAAATTTTAAAAGTCCTCGTAAAATATATCCAACCCCTTACAATGTTTTCTGACTTGACTTCCGGCGCCAAACTTCAAATGTATCTTAAATCGCGTCTTCACGAATTTATTTTTTCTTTCTACTGGATCAGATACAATTCTAGGATTGGTGCTTTTGGGGAAGTGTACCTGGCTGACGCAGACGGTTGCCTAGTAACTGATAGCACAACGAATGGTGTGAGACAACGATTATCCTCAAAAAGAAAAGGATCTGGACTGACTGCGGAGGGACCTGTGAAAGTGGCAGTGAAAACATTAAAAGGTAGTAAAAGGCAGAAAAAGATTTATGTGAGTAGTTTTCAATCGCTTTTGATAAACTCAAAAACACTTAAAATTCCTTTACCCGTCAATTGTCTGGGGTATTACGAGCAATGAAGCACCGTGGTCTTTGCATATGAGGAAGAAGTCCTTCCAATGAAGGAATGAAGCACAGTGATCTTTGCATATGAGGAAGAAGTCCTTGGAATGAGAGAAAATTATCGTGTGACTACGTTGTAATCATCACAGCCGTAGCCGTGCTAAGTTCCTGGAAAGCTCTCTCCAAAACCTTCACAGTCAATGGGCCACGTTTGAGATATCAATATTCTAACATGGCTTGGAGGCTTTCGGGTCAAAATTGTGAATTTTTTAAGTTTTTTGTTTCTCAATTCCCAAAAGAGACTTGGATACAAAGAAAACAACACCAAATATGGAACTTTGTCCTGAAAGCCTCGGAGCCATGTTAGAACATTGATATATCGAACGTGGCCTATTGATTTTGATGACTTATCGGACCATGTCACAACGACGAAATATGGAGGCCTAGGAACAAAGCAAATGAGAGGGACATGGGTTCAAATCTCGATTTTAGAGCCGTAAATTTATCATAAGATTCTATGTAAACATCTTTATTTTGCACAAGTCAGTGGGTCAGCCTCAACTTCCTTGGAAATCCTCAATGCATCAAGAAACTTGAAGCTTGAACCTTCAATCGATTGTCGTACTAATAATCACAGAATTTAATTTTTTCCCCTTATTCTAAGTATATGTGTACATTTTATTTTATTTTATTTTATTTTTATTCTTTCACATGGAGCATATGTTTTCCTTGTTCCCATTTCCAATATTCAGAAGTGTTCCTTTTTATTTATGCAGGAGACGCTGGTGAATCAGAACAAAAGGACTTGCTGTCCGAACTCAAGATATTGATCCACATTGGATCACACGAAAATATTGTCAACCTGTTGGGTGCATGTACGAGAGGTAAGGAACTAGCTACGACTCCCCTTTCCTAGGTCTGGTACCGTGGCACTAGTTTTTCGAGTGTTAGAACGCTAGTCTCCGGATCGAGCGGTCCGGGTTGAGCCCTGTCCGGGGACATTGCGTTGTGCTCTTGGACAAGACACTTTACTCTCACAGTGCTTCTCTCCACTGACCCAGGTTTATAAATGAGTACCGGCGAATTTAATGCTGGGAGTGACCCTGCGATGGACTAACATCTTATCCAGGGGAGAATAGAAATACTCCTAGTCGATTCATGCAACAGAAACGGCCGGGATAAGCTCCTGCCTGATGAGCCACTTGGTTTGTATGCAGACTTTACGTGCCTTTTAATCCCCGCCACAAGAATGAAAGTGTAAATACATTTACTTTACAGGTAGTCACCGTGATGTTTGTGTTATTATTGAGTATTGTCCACATGGAAGCATGCTTCAATTCCTACGAGACAGTAGAAACCTGTACAATCCAACATGGCTGTAGCCCACCGAGGATCCTGATAAACAGTTCAGCATGACTGATGTGGTGAGCGCAGCTTTTCAAGTCGCGAAGGCCATGGAATTTCTTGCGTCTAGAAAGGTAAGAGTTTTCAAAGATTCCTAGTTATTTGGATGTCAGTCAGTAATAGCTATGATATTAGTAGTGTTACTGGCGTTTGAATTAGAATGTGTGGTATTTTTTTTTGGGGGGGGGGAATCTTAAGGGGGAGAGGAGGCTGGCTATCCTTTCTATACCACCCCCCTAGCTTTACCCTTGGAGCCAGTTTCTTGAAAGCCACGGAAACTTTTCGGGCCCTTAAAGCCATTTTTAGTTAATCTGTATCTAAAAACAGAGAGCTGTGTACGCTTGAAACTTATGGTGTGAGGGGAACCCCTATTTATATTAAGAATATGTGAATAAAACAGCTCTGCAATCATAGGATTTCAGACATTAGAATTGATATTAGAATTGGTACCCCTTAGGGATGAAAACATTTCAAACCACGCCCACAACACAGGATCTTGTTACCTCTTAGAGTTTCTTTTCAAACTTTCTGGCGAGCACCCCCGTCCCTTTTATGTGGGAGTCTCCCCAGAGGCTTCAACTTAGTGTCAATGAGAAACCTGTATCACACAATTTTTTTATCGAACCTTCAGACGAGTTTGGTCGAGCCATGGTTCGTAATTTCAAAATACCCATGCGAGACCAAGCGAGCTTAATATGCGGCTGAAGCCTACTAAAAAGGTCCGATTAGGTATTTACCGTACCCAAATTTGGCCATATAAGGTCATGCGTGACCAGGACAGTAGAAACGGCTTCTGATTGTTTAATTGCAAATTTCTAATGTATGATAATGAAACGGCCTAAAAAGAAGTTCCAAACCAGGATTTGAGAGTCGAAAAAAAGGACTTACGTTGATTAATCTTTGACCAAAGTCCAACTCTTACTTACTATTTTCAGGTGGTCTTTTGGCGTGTTTCTGTGGGAGTTGTTTACTCTTGGTAAGTTTTGTCTTGATTGCTTTGCAGCTATTAAAACATTACCTAGCACTTGAAGGGGATGCGCCGAGAGTTATTTGGGATAAATTTGCGCAAGAGTTAGTAAGAATCTTTTAAATGCAAACCACCACGATACGGCTACTCTGCTTAGCCTGGCGACCTATATCACGTAGAGA